TTCAAGATACTTAAATTAAGTTTGAACTTGTCAGAATGTTGTTGTACATATCATGATGAGTCAGAATCAAATTGTACATCTATGAAACAAACTAGAATTAAAGATAGTAATAATCCAACTCAAATGTTTATCACAAGCGTTTCTAAAAGACTTGTGACCTCAACTTAATGTTGTATCTGTCAGAGGTCACACTTCAATCAATGACACAGAAAGTGACATGCACACTTGCGCAAAACAACTTCCTCTTTGGATGTCACTTGAACTTGATCCGCTGACCAGCCAGTGAGTCCTGAGGCACATTAGCCTCAGATTAAGACCCCTGGAGAAATACCATCGATCACAGAGTGTTTATTGTTGTCAGGGAGGAAATGTGGGGATTATTTGTGGTTCCTTTCCAGAGTTCTATGTGTGAGAGGGGGCTGCAGGAAGTGGCAGCTTTAACCTTTGGACTCAAGAGGGCGGGTGACGGGGGCTGGAACTCATATGATCCTATTCCATGAACCAGCATTTTTAACACGGAATTTCATTAAATCACAATTTTCAAACTCCAGGCTTTGTCAGCTTTATATTTATTTGCATTATATGATATTGATGTATTGACAGATAATTTTCCTTTTGCATTAAGAGACAACATCATATTATGATGCATGACTGAGAGGTTTTGTGTTTCTCCACAGTGGAAAGGGGAGATCCAGGAGTTTTGTCCCAACACCAAGATGCTGTTGGTTGGATGTAAATCCGACTTGCGCACTGACTTGAGCACATTGGTGGAGCTTTCCAACCACAGACAGACACCAGTGTCATATGACCAGGTACGCTGATTAAAAGTGTTTAACCTCCATATGTGACTAATCTTTGATGAATAACAGCTCATTGTACTTTAAGCCTTTTTTAACTGATCCCTAAGAGCTGAAATCCTTTCGTCATTGTTGATGCCAGTGAATGTGTTAACTTCCCAGCTAACCTGACCTCCGATCCGTTTCTTCCGGCGGTGACCATATTTTACCTCTTCCCTCCTCAGGGTTCCAGCATGGCCAAGCAGATCTCGGCGCCCTACATCGAGTGCTCGGCTCAGCAGTCAGAGAACAGCGTCAGAGACATTTTCCATGTGGCCACGCTGGCTTGCATCAACAAAAACCACAAAAACGTCAAGCGCAGTAAAGCCACCCGTGCCAACAAGAGGATTTCACACATGCCCGGTAGGCCCGACCTGGCGGCCGTGGCCTCGGACCTCCGGAAGGACAAAGCTAAAAGTTGCTCTGTCATGTGACTGACCAGACTGAGGGGGATTAGACTGAGGAGAATGAGGACAGAACCCAGTGCAAGCAGGAAACGATGGGGCAGCGCTCTTTCCTGCATGCTAAAGGCCCCCGATTTGTCTGGAGAGGGCTTACATAAGCTTCAACTCATCTACATGTTACTGGAATACTCTGCACCAACGAAAACCCAATGCGTAGCAGCGTCTAAATCCATTTGGCCCCCTGCCCTATCAGACAAGGAAGCAATCTGTCAGAGGGCTACCTGCTTGAGGAAGTGACCTGCTTCCTCTGGGAGGACAAAGCGGATGCGATGGAGGCTTTCCACGCCAACAGGAAACGAGCAGGAGAAGTGATGTCATGAGGAGACACTCATTCGTAAAGGAAGGGCTTGAGAACTTGTGATCTTTCTGAATGAGAACCAAAGTCTGCGATTAGGGGTTTGGATGCCCGGGAAAAAAAGAGGAGCGGCTGTTGTTTGTGCCAGATCAAGGACTTTTTGCTCGGAGGGCTTATACAACAACTCGCCACTGTGGTTTGGAACTGATTCACTCTCACCCCTGCTCCTGTAGCTCCTGTAGTAACTGTCTGTGTGCAGAGGAGACTAGAAGAGGTGTTTCCTCACCCTGTGTGAAGGAATCCTGGCGCTGTGTGTCCTCTGTCTTTGAAATGTTGTCGGTATAATGTGAAGTCATTGGTGTGTAACTGCGTCATTGTTTGATTTTTAAGCTTAATCCTGATGAGTTGCAGCCACGAGGAGCTGATCCTAGAAGTTGTCCGAGGTTAAAACTGCACGTTTGTACCAGTCAGGCACCATTTCTCCTCAACAGCTATAGATGTGCGCTGATTTTCTGAAGACGTTCTCCACACACAGTTCAGCTGCATGGACAACATGAAACTTGGAAACCATTAGCAAAGAGGCTGGAGGGTTTGGCCAACAATTCCTTTAGTCCATGTAATAAACACGTTGAATTTGGCCTTTTATTTCCTCGAAGAGTGAGTGATCGAGTTGAAAGCAACAACTGGAACCCGTTTTTCAGAAGTTGTCTGAATCATCTGTTGGGTAATATCTTCATCAGGGCCCAGCAGAGAGTCACTGCTAAATCGATTCATTCCAAAGGATTTGCTGGAAGTCGTTAATTCACTCACCCATGTTAAAAAATCTGGTGGAGGCCCAAATTGTATGCGTGGCGCAGCAAACGGAGGCTCATGCTGAACCATTCCTTCTCCCCATTATCACGCTCTACTGTCCAATCAATGAAGGTGAAAATGGCAAAAGAAATGTCCACGGGGACTAAGGAGCCAGAGTTCAAAATGGCAGATGCTTAGTAGCTGTGTTGCAACTTTTGTTTAACTTGTTTAACAGGTTTTAGGACAGATATGAGTCAATATTCAGTCATTCACACGTCTTCAATAAACACTGTGAACTGTGATCATATTATTCTTCCTACGGGGTCATTTCACGAGCCTCGGGCCTCCACTTGAAATACGACTTAACAAATCAACAAATCAGAAAATGAGCCTACAAAAACATAACGTTATCGAATCTGTGGTTTTCCTCTTAACGACTGTGCAATTTAAAGACTAGTTATTGATGCACTTTTAATGAAACTTTAAACTTTCCCCATTAGCTTGTTCAAATGCCAGTAAACTGTTGCCTGACTCTTTTTTTAATCTTCATTATTTTCTCATCTGTTGTCTCCTTCCCATGTACATTGTCATGTTTTCTTGAATGTTGATCTCACCTTCAAAATGTCTTTGCCAATGTTGTTGCGACAATATTTATTGAATTATATATTTTCCCTTTAGAATAAATGCAAATGGAATTGAAGAAAAGCGTGTTTATTCATTTTAAGCAAAAACAAAGAAGAGTTGATGGATAAACTGCCGATCATATTTAGTTTTCTCACATTTCCTCTGTGCTTAAGTGACTATAATTTCCATAATTTCTACGTGGAGGCTAAAACCAAGGATCTTCTCTTTGTTTAAGTTCAAATAGAAAGCGATGACTTGAATCATTCCGCATTTATTTCCATTAGAGATGGTAATTTAAATGCGAGGTTGTGCTCTCCCTTCCCACTCGAATGCACACACAAGTCGTTGTTTCTTGCGTAAACACAGGATATGCTGTCGTTACAAGCAGGTGAAAACATGCTCTCAACAGATCAGATACGGGACTTCAGCACATGTGGTGTAAACAACTTAATTCCAGGCACAGATCTATGTTCAGGGTAAGAGCTTTGCAATCGTGGCTTCATTACACAGGTGTCAAGATCAAAAATATGTTCAATTAAAATAAAATCTTAAAGGTTAGTCACTGCAAAGTGGAAAAAAATCTACTTTAACCTGATTCGATTGCTGATGATTTGAGACGAGGGCTGTTTTTGTCTTCGTCTTTTAAATCCTTCATTTTGCTTCAGTACAGATCTAAAGTTGTTGATGTTGCACTTGTTTGAAACACTTGAACAGACTCAAGTTACTCAAATGACGTGAATTAATACACCACATCAAATGGGATAAAAGAGTTTTTACCCAACAGTGTTAACATTCAGTGTGTCAGCAGTCTCCCCTTTCAGAAAAACAAGCTGGACTTGAGTCCTTGACATCTCATTCTGAAGCCGCTGAGTGAAACAAAAAGCTCTCTGTGAGTCAGACTAAAAGTTACAGTATCACTCGAGGCACACGGTGTCATACAGGCCGGGCTAAATTCCCCCGGAGCCTGCCGAGCATGCAAACTGCGTTTTCTCACACAGCAGACCTATATATCATGTGGTGACTTCATCACATGCATGAGGCCTGAGATGTATGAGGTTGTCGGGGGCAGGAAAAACAGGGCTGTCAGGTGGAAAATAAATGTCGGAGTGGAAAGATGCACCTGTGTGTTTATTCTGGCTGCATGGAGCAAGTAACATCCAATAATATCTGACTCATTTCTAATGAGAAAGTTTGAAAATTCTTAAAAGTGGACAGACAAAGGATAAAAATCTATAATAGGTTTGACCTTAAGTTGCTCAAGTTTATTCGTTTTACTCATCAAATTAGTCAAATTTCAAGAAATAAGCTTCTACAGTTCAATTTCAGCCTGAGAACGACCTTCGTGGACGTGCACCTCCGCTGCTGCCATCGTGCAAAATGATTCTGTGGGAGAAAAAATAAAACCCTGGATCTGGATTTATTGTGTCCCACCCCTAAACTTTCATAGAAATTGGATTGGTAGTAATGACTTCTTTGTTAAACAGTAGCTCTTATAATCTGGTTTTCACTCCTTCAACATTAAACAGCAATAGTTTCCCTGTAGGGGACTTTCAAGCAAGTTCACTGAGGCCTGTTGAAATGCAATTCTGGAAATGAAGGAAACACCTCACCGTGGTGGACTGAGTCAGGGTGGAGACAAGGAAAACCACAAACATTGACGGTTTAGAAAACATTAGCATTGAGACATGGAAATGAAAAGAGACGGAGCTGCCGACAGGCTGACATGTCAGCCTGTGCAGCTGCTCGTTCACGTGTTCACAACTTGAAACATTTAACCGCTGATTAGCTGTAATAACGATGGTGGACCGACACTGACCCACAGCATCTCCGAGCCTGTTAAGCGGGTTGAGATTGTAATGGTATTTAGCCTGATACTGTAATAAGTCAGGAATCCCACTAACACCCATCTCAAACACTACACATGGGTGGACTGACCTGGCAGAAAATCAGTTTTGCATGTCTGCAGTCCACCCTGTCCTGTAACGTCTCATTTTACCCAGTTGTGTAAGTATGAGGGAGAGAAGTGAGCTAATCCATTGATTGCAGATGTGCTGCAAGTGATTTCCGCCATTCTCCCAAGGTTGTGCTCTCATGACTTGCAGCTGTGCTTCTTAGCCGTTCTAGTGGCATGGCTCTCGGGAGGAAAATGTCACTCGATCCGCCACTTTGGTCCAGAATGAAATATCTATAATATGGTTATTGGACAGTTTGCATTTTTCTTCTTTACAAACATTCCTGGTCTGCAGAGGCTGAATCCTTCTGACTCCCCTTACTCAACATCAGGCACCAGCATGAGGTTGACATTTTCGGTCCAGTTAATTCTCTCAGAGTATCTCGTGGATTGCCATGAAATGTAATGCACCCGGGCCCAAGATATTTTGGCTTCATTTTTGCACAATGGGAGGAAGTGGAGACTTGTCATCCATCTTTATATATAGTATATGCAACTGTCTTATTGATGGTTATACAGTAAATATTTGTATGCGAAAATGCTGAACTAAGATGGTGAATATAATAAATATTACAGTGTTTTTGAATGATATTAGAAGCTTTTCTTTTTCCTTGCACAAACTGACAGAACTAGCTTTCCTCTTTCTATTGCATCCAGAGTCAGACACACACACACACACGCACACACACACACACACACAGTGGTGGCATTTCTGTGAGTGAAATGTGACAGGGAGTCACTCCTATCTGCCGCATGTGAAAAGGTTGAGCTCCATTGTGGCCCATGGCAGCTGATTCCCAAAAGACAGAAATTGTCTGAAAGGAAAGAAAAGTGATTAGCAAATCTCGTCATCATTTTCTTTTGTTTGCACCTGCCTCCATTAATCTGACAGGGGACAAACTGTGTGCCTGGAAACGGAGCTGCGAGACGTGAAGATGCTGTTCCTCATTGGACATTTTTCTCAATTTCAGACAAATAAGTGGATCACAGCAGGAAAACGCTCAGGGTTTTGTCACTGTGATTGCTTACTTGACTTTGATTCATAAAGGGCATATCTGTCAACAATCCAAAGACCATTTCAAAACGTCACTCAAGATTTCCCAAATGTACAGTTTTGATAAATAGTTTTAATATTAAGCCAAAGGTCAGTTTCCCACTCGACAATGCTAAAGAAAATACATTTCTTAATTTGTCTGCAGTAACAGGTTTGGAGAGAGACAGACACTATTCATCACTGTCTTTGTGCGAGTGAGAGGCTCTCTTTCATCTTGATTAAGAAATAAAATTGTTTGGATGAAGTGTCACGGCGAGAGCAGGGACTCGATTGAGCAGGAGCGATAATCGATAAACCCCATATTGGTGTTTACGTGCGGGTGAAGCGAGGTGGAAAGGGAGCTGTTGTGTCATGTGTCACGCAACAGCTCAGTAAAGCAGAAATCATCGCTGCTCCCCCACAGAATATTCTCACATACTTCTCAAGTACTCTGGATGTAAATCTGATGATCTTTGTGTGTGTCAGGCTGTTTTACCTCAAACCCCCCACCCAGTGTCCCTATTTTCCTGCAGGACCAGCTGGGACGGACACAGACAGGGAGCGTGGTGATCAATAGGTCTAAACTGGTGGTGCATTGTTTCCCACTGAATCCTCCTGCCTCAGACAATCAGTCATGCACAGCTGTAACATAGAGGCCGACTGAAAGCAAAACAATAGACTTTTTTTTTTGCAGAAAATCTTGTGCAGGACTCAGGCTGCAGGTCTGGAGAAAAGAGGATGAAGAGAGGAACATGCTCCCTTTGGCAATGAGGCGTTCAGACGGCTTGGGCTTAATGACAAGCCTTTAGTTCATGATGAAGTGGTGCAACATGGGAAAAATGTGGATTAATCTAAAATGCTGACACAACAAGGCAAAGCAACAGTGTGGGAACTGTGGTATGCACAAGTGGTTTTACTCAGATAAGGTTTCAGCTGAAATTTGGGAAGAAAAGCAAGAAACCTTTACTCGAAATCTAAAAGAAAACAATGGAATATGCTGAAATACAAATAAAAAACATGAGTAGGAATTCATATAGAATGGGCACACGATTTTAAAGGATTCTTGGCTGTATATACAAATTCATTGTAATATGCAGTTAATGCAAATGTTTCCAGGTAATCAAAGCTACCTTATTGATATTATTGATATTATGCTTCTTCATGTGTGAAAAGCAAAATTCTGCAAACCAAAGTAAAGTGAAAGAGAAATAAATCTATCGTGTGAAATAACCAAAAACTGTTTATACTTTGGCAGAAAACTTTGTGTTCATGTATCGAATGTGATTCTGATTGAGAAAAAAACTTTCCAGGGTCTTAAAGAAATGTACAAACTAATGCTGTGTCATTTTTAAACTTTAACATTCATGCAATCAGCTCTTATTTCTCTAAACTGGAAAACTCATTTCACTTTGGCTCACTGCTGCCCACTGTGGGGGATTGTGCTGGGAGGAGGACTGTGGGAACGACAGGAAAATCTTTTCATGCTTGGTGGATTTATTTTATGTGGTGAATTTCAGCGTGGATCCAAATAAACCAGAGACGCTCCTGCCTCATGTTTTATTGGGTGTAGAGTTTGCCGATATATATCTAGGTTTTTCTGGTGGCTTTTGGTTTTGACTTCAAAGCCCGGAGCTGCTTTGGCATCTGAACTTGACGTTAAACTGCATTTAAATGCATGACTTTCCATACAAGTGATTTTTATAATCCGACACAGTACTTTCTCTCAACGTTCTCCACCAGCCTCTTCTCTGGGGTCTGGTTTGCCATATGCCTGATCCTCACTGTGGGCTTCAAGGAGACCACTGACCTCCTGCATCTCTCCTCTCCGAACCATCTGCTCCCCGGTTTGGCCTTTTTGGTCAGGGGCCAAATATTCGCTGACTCAACACATGTCCCATCACGATTTCAGGAGAGCGTCCTCATTGGCTGCTTTATACTGTCTATGAAGGGTAACAGCATGTGAGCAGGAGCCAGTGATTTAGTTTTTTTTCACTGATGCTCAGGAACAGGCTGGACAGCTGCTTAATTAACACGCAAAATAATTTCCTTCTTTCTTTCTCTGCTTTTCCTGTGATCCTTGATTTCATTTCAT